TTGGATGATTTTCACCGTGTCGAAGTCAGCAAAAATTTCGCAATAATTTCAAACTAGCGACAGAATCTTCAACTTTTACTTTATTACGCAATAATAACTAACGCCTTGATGTCATACGTAATTATCACTATTAATCGGAGGTGAAAGTCGCCCACACGACGCCACTCATCATTATCACAAAATTGCGCAATGATACTCGATCCATTTCATCATCAACATTTGAATCAAACACGATTTTACACTCATCCATCCAGCCCCTTACTCTAAACTTACTCGTTAATGATAAAGCTACGCAAAATCATGTTATTACACAACCGAAAAGTTATTTCTAGAAATTATTATTTTTTTTATTCAACCTTTCCGTTTCTCGATGATGGAGCGGAGAGAAAGTGGAATAAAAGTGTATTATTCTATATAAATCCGAACATGTCATAATCTCAGAATTGTTATTTCAAGAAGCGAACAACGCCTTCCCCTCGAGGCATACACATACATAATATTTGACTGAATAATAAGAGAACAGTGAGAGAGCAGCAGTATGTATTATTATTACTACGGAGAGAAAGTATGCTAGCATTGTCATGAAATCATGACGGGTGTACATTCTGTCTCCTACTTCCACTTCTTTTTTAACCATGTATGTACTTACATACGTACGCAGACAGTTCATCTTTGCATGCAGAAAACAGGAGGCTGCTGCTGTGACGTGTATTATCGTGGTGCCGAGCTATTCTTAGAATTTTAATATGAACAAAGAAGAATGCAAAATTGAATGAAGAATGAACAATTTCTAGCCTCTTTTCCCGATCAATGAAAAACCATGGGGGACTTTGTACATAAAAATATGCCATTTGCGCAATATCGGTCTTGTACGAATTATTATTAAAAACGGGGGAATGATGCAAAAGCAAAAGTCGAAATTGAAATCGAGATTAAATTTTTAATACGTAAATAGCACCCAAATTGTGGCTACCTATGTGTATCAGTCGGTCTAGGATGCCACTAGAGAGGAGCAGATAGCATAAAGCACTTACTAAAATGAAACAGAGTCAATCTGCCATAGCTATTTACACCACATCGTACCATTAAGATTGGCCATAGTAGTTTCCACATGCAGACCGTGGTGTCTGCTGCATTTCAAAATGGTACAATATCCATATCCGACCGAATTACGTAACCACAAGAGAGAGAGAGAGAGAGGAAACCTGTCATGCTGAATTTCCAAAGAACTTGGTCATAAATTACTTTCACTCTCTCTCATTCCACAATTTTCACTCAGAAGAGTTAAAATACCACCACAAGATAAGTAGTGCAAGCGATATGTGCATATAGGCACAACAACAACTCCCCTCTCTCTCTGTTACTTACTTATCTAAGGATAAGAATATCCGTCCCCTTTGATCCCGCGTACTGAACCTGAACCACAAAGGATGTGCAGTACAATATATCTTTTACCGTATTAGATCTACCACCACCACCACTTCGGTAATAGGTACAAAGTAAGTAAGAGAGAGAAAGTAAGTAAAAAGTAAAGACAAATAACACGGCTCAGCCGTAAACAACAAGTGAAAGTGAAAGTGAGTGAGTGAGTGATGATACGTAACACTCATCCCGTACATGGTTCAAAAATTAGAAATAAACTGAGGAGGACAACCCTTCACCGACAGAATGACCGATCTTGATGCCCTTGGGATATGTTGTAGTCCTAGGTGAGTCTAGCAAAAGTGAAGAAGGATTTCATTCCATGGCCCCATTTGCGCCCGCCACACCCACTCAAAGGTGCAAAAATACCCTGTTTTGGTTCATTAAAAAAATCACCAAAAATCCAATTTTGGTCGGATTTTCACAATTTAAGCATTTTTGTGACCTTAGATAGTTGCTCTATCATATCCAATAGCAAACTCAACTTTTTTGAAATTTTGATTTTTTTGAAATCCACGAAATTTTCGAAAATATTCAAAAAATTCAAAAAATTGAAATTCATGTCGGATACGATAAAACAACTATCTGGGATCAAAAAGGTGCAAAAATTATCAAATTATCATTAAAAATGGATTTTTGGTGAATTTTTTAATGCGACCAGTTTGGCATGGGATTCCTCTTTGAGTGGGTGTGGCGGGCGCAAATGGGGCCATGGAATGAAATCCTTCTTCACTTTTGCCCAACTCACCTAGTGCTACAACATATCCAAAGGGCATCGAAATCGGTGATTCTGTCGGTGCAGGGTTGTCCTCCTGAGTAACGAGAAGGGGAGGAAAAAATATAACAAAAAATGAGAAACGATGCCTCACCGTAAATGAATTTGAGTCTGAACGGAAGTGAAAGGTTTCAGAATTTTGGACAAGGAGAAGAATCATCTTCATCTTTACAGCTGGCCGGGTGTACAAGTACACTAACCAGTCGTGACGATGTCGGGGAGGGAATTGGTCGAGTTAGTTAACAAGAAACAGATGGATGGATGGATAGTCTGCTCGGTCTAGCTCTCTAAATAAATGACATCGCGAAGGACCACATAATCGTTCCTAATATGAGCTGACGGCCCTCCAAATTGACACTGCTAGTGGATTTTTTTTGTCTAGGAGACAAAGTACAAAAAAAAGTGCAAGAACGCAATCATGGCGGTGATGATGGTCTCATGTCCAGTTCTAAACTTTGGATTAAAAAAGGGACAAATGTCACAAAAATTGGGAGAGCGTGCTGCATGTCCACTTTCTTTTGGAAGAGGAGAAAAAAGTGACATGATAGTATTGACACCTAATAAAATGGGAAATTGATATTTTCTTCATCCAATCCTCTACACTAGTAATGCATAAGGTGGAGACTTTAATCCTGTGCCCTACTCCTGGAGGGATCTCTCACATTCTTGGCTCGTTTTACTCCACAAGTACGTTTCTCATATGTGTGTACACTCTAAAAATTCCGGGGACAAACGAGCCTACACGGCTCTGAGATGTTACCATTTCGGTGGTAGGATGCTTCCGCTTGGTGATAGACTATAAGTCACCGAGCTATTGGTGGGTGTCCCCACGTGGTCATTCCGATGTAACCGAGCGGTGCCATATTATCACCATCCCGTAAAGTCACACACGGTCACCGGTCGGTGAAATTTCTTAGAGAGAGAAAGTTATTGGTAGGAAAGGAAGAAAAGGGACCCAGTCAGCAAGGTCTAGATTATACGATAAACTTTGAAATGTGAGTGAGTGAAGGAGGGTTTTGGAGGAATAAATCCATCCGTCATCTGCACTCCGTACTTTTCCTATGGCCTGGCCTTGTGGTGATATGAGGACGGATGACATTGGGACAATGGACTGGTGGCAGATATCAGATTAGAGAGAAGAATGGCCTTTGTCTTTTTCAATCCGTCAAATTTTACCCTTTCCACCTTATTCATTTCTACTCGGAGTAATCTCATGTCCCTTCAGACTTTCTGTTCTGAGCGACTTAAGAAAGACACACATTTTGCATACGGGTAAAAGATGATGAGACTCTGGAAACCCGTACTTGTGCGAAATTGAAATGGGCAAAAAGATGGAAAAGGATTTACCCGGGTGACGGGAGACAATGGATCAAGGGAGAAAGCATATCGTTTCTACACAGTTTTTTTTGTGCGAAAGTAGATCACACGGAGAAATTTGCTCTACAAGAAAATCTTAAAGTGACAACTAATTAAATCCAATCCAACTTTCTTCAGGTGTAAATTGTTTTGTGTTAAGTGAGACAAAGATTTATTAGCACTCGATCTACGGGATAAATAAACAGGTATAATTTATGAAGGGAAATAAACCGTTTTTTCCCCTTCCCCGATAGTATAACAGCTATTTCGACGAGGAATTCACAAATTTCCCTCAGGTCCAATAATCACAGCTTAACAAAATAAGTAAAGGATGCGATCAGGTAAGTAAGTAATCAAGTGAGGATGAGAATCGAGTACTCTTCCGCTTTCTCTGCCTGCTTCTTAAAATCCTATAATAATCTTCCCTCCATCTTTCCACCGGGGTTTGATTTTGCGAGAAAACTTGGCATTTGTTAAACCTAGCGTGGTCTGGCAATTACATTTCTCTGGGTATTAAATTCTGCTCAATTCTGCAATTTACCCACTCGTTAACAACTTAACGACGGAGAAAGTCAGGCAATTTATTATTCCGTTCTCCTAAACTTAAAGTAAAACGAGGACAAAAAGTGATACCGCTTAATTAATAATTTTGAAAATTAATTTAATCGATACATACCTAACGTAACGTAACGTAACCGATGATAAATGATACTTTGAAAAGAAAGTGGCAAATTTACCGTGTCGATTACCCAGCCTGACCCCATTTACCAAGACCCACACACAAGAACAGACGGTGCGAGGAGAGAAAGTATAAGAAGCTGTCCTTTCCACCTGCCTCCTTCTTCCTTTTGGTCTATATTTTAACTTTGTTTATCATTTTACATACTGTCACCCACACCACGACCACCACGACCCAATCCACATATTATAAAATTATACAATATCCAAAAGTCCGTTTTCTTAGCCAGCCCAGCCAGCCTTCAACTTCTTCCAAATTAATTATCCACCCTAATGACTCTTTCCCTCTTTCCTCCCTACTTTGCTAATTACTTTACAAATATGGATATCGAATCGGAAACTTTCTCCTCCTTCACGTGTCTCAATCCAGCTTAATTAAATACACATTGCCCCCCGAATAAATAAGGTGGCATGTGCAGGAACAAAAACAAAATTAGTTTCAGGAGCAAATCCTTTGCTTCTTAATAATATAAAATCTTTTACAAATTATAATCCGAAAATAAGTCTTCTACTTGGTAGTTTTATTGCTTTATAACTTTCTCTTGGAGGAGAGACATCAATAATTTTAATTTCTCGGGGAACTTTATCCCAACAAAAGAGTATGACACATTTATGTAGGATATAGAGAAACGTAGAGATAGAGGAACCATAAATTGCATCTGCATCTCGGGGTTTGGCCATAAAATAGGAAATATTCTCGCTGGGTTACCTTCTTCTCGTGGTGGTTCCGCTTCTTCAAAATATGGTGGGGGGAAGAAGAGGAAACGATTTTCTTAAGAGGACCACATCTTATTCCAATTTGTTAACCAAATTACAATTAATTTCGAAATTAATTAAAAGTTTGATAGATTGCAAACAAATTTCTGTTCCTTCCTTCACGCCACAAAATAAGCCCAAGTTCTCACACCAACGTCACAGTTCGAAACCACAATTCAATCGCGTAAAGTAAAGCGAATCATGTCCTTACGTCGGAATTCATTACAAACAATTTCCACTCGGTCGGTTTGCTTTCCCGTCCGGCTTGGACAAATTTGGGAATATTATAAGATCCCCGAGTGGGACCAGACCAGACTGCAATTTACTAAACTAAATAAACTCTTGGTTCAAGTTTTAGAGGGATTTATTTACACTAAGCAAATCCAGTATCACAAATTTAAATTAAACCTTGCTTTCACTTCATTGGAGGAAACTGTTGTATTTCGTTTATTAGAAATCTTGCTAGATTTTCACGATTATTTCACCACTCGTCCTGTATTGCGACAAAACCAGTCATAAAATCCGTTACTTAACGATAAGAGAAGAGAAGAACTACTGCAAACAAGACGGGGAAATGTTTTTATGATATTTTCGCACGGAATTTGAATCGCAAGTGAAATCTTGTTCTGCTTCTGGAGAGAGAAAGTCTCGATGTGGAGTAAGTAAGTAAACGGTGTATGTATGTCGTCCTTCTCTCAATTTCTCTCACGCCTGCCTCCCTTCTCTCCTGCCGACAACAAAGAAGTGAAAGCAGAGAAAGAGGAGCACCCCGACTCACAACTTTCTCTTTCCATCCAGAGAGAGAATATTACGAGAGAGAGAGAAGCAGAGAAAACAGGATGGGAATCGGGGTTGAAAAGTGTATGTGCTGCTGGAGATTGGAACTGGACCGTGTAGAACAAACAAAGTGCAACTACAGTATTCTGAGGGAAGTAGATACTAACCAAGCAAATTCTTCACTATAACAATGGAAATTTGCAGGATGAGGATGCGGATGCAGAATGTCCGACGTTCAAAAGTAGCCTAAACTATGAAATGAACGCGATAAAGTTAGGAGTAAGTAAATGTAAAGAACTTGTGGAATAAATAACACCTTGAATATAATAATAATAATAATAATCCGCATTCGGAACTACATAAATTGTAGAACTGCGTATTTTTTCCATTTCATGGTTTGGTTTTGCAATTGATTTTCTCACCACTATTGAAAAAAGAAAACAATATTTTCCATCTTTCTTCCCATACAAACATACATGACATTGCCCAATTTTCATTTTCATTTCTCCGCAGTACAATAAATATAAAAAACACGAATTCTTGTCACAATCAATTGGTCGAGCAGACCCACTTTTTGAATCCAATTCATGATTTCATCAGCATGAAGGAATACCAATTGAAAAAAAAAATCTTAGCTTTTTGCTACGCTACGCTACAGTCCAGTCACGATTCTTCTCTACTTTTTTGTACTTTTACTTACAACAACTATTCAGAGTTTGAACTATTCCGTGGTGGTGGTGGTATTAAGCTTAAATATCACACATACTACGTAGGAAATCAATCCACAACTACATATATAGCATCATAATCATCATGCCTTTTCTACTTTCACCTACTTTACTTTCACTCTCGATTTCAATTTTCAAGTAGATCCAATTCCACACACGGTCCTTCTTTTTTCTCAGATCGTATATATTTTTTTGCTCACTTCTTCGTCTTCTTGTCTATCTATCTGTCTCCATGAGAAGACTGGGTCGAAATCGGAAAGAAGGAAATGAAAAAAACAGCTTGTGAGAACTTATTCACGAAACAATTTCAGGTATATTTCCAAGGCACGTTCAGACCAAATCTTCGCAGACCAAATGCATAGCAGGAAAAATAACAAATAACAAACAATCCCAATCGGACAGATGTGACGTGATGTAGTATATGGATTCGTTCGTGTACATGCATGCATAGTATTGGCAGGAGTAATAAGACAAGGAAAAGAGGTATTAGACAGACAGACAGACCGACAAAGTCAGGTTCTTTGGCTCCCTGTCAATCTTAGCGGAGAGAGAGAGAGAAAGTTGGGTTGTTTTATTCAATTCTATTTTCCAACAGTCCCACAACAGTTTTCAGGTAAAATTTGTCCGAAAAATATCCAACCAGAAATGTTGCCACCTTATTTCTATTTTATTTCTATGTAGGCGAGAATGTCGCGTGTGATTGATTTCTTTTTGCAGTACGGTGCATGTCAGTGTCAAATTGAATCTGAGAAGAAGAGGACTTGATTGACAAAACATATTATTTTTACAAAATAATTCTCAACAATAATTTGTCATGTATTTCTGTCTGTCACAGGCTTTCGCTTGTCTAGAGCAGAATGAAAAGAAAAATATTCGTGTTGATAAAAATAAGAAATAACTTTATAATTATAGCGTATCTAGCTTCTAGGAACTAAATAAATCCGGATTTTTCAATATTCTACACTCAATTTGTACGTCAATCAAATAAAGTTAATTAATTTTTAATAATTGAAAAGATTCAATTATTAAAAAAACTCAACTTGCATGAAATGAAGGAAGGAACCGACTTTCTCCTTGGCAGAATCTGGCAGCCTTGCCTTCGCCACCTAGCCAGAGAAAACCCAACTTTCCCCACTTTCACTGTGCCAGAAATTCCCGTCTAGATCGGGTAAGGGTGCAGAGAGCTGGTTCATTTCCTCTTCTCCTTTTATAAACTAAACTGCGATTCGTGTCCTAAAATCATCATCTAAAACGAACAAACGAACGATATATCTTGATACTCGCGTACATGTACGTATAAAAAATTTAGGCTGGACAAACGATTAATAAATTATCTCTCCTGCGCTTCTCCAGGGAATTGAGTGTACATTGCATGAGAAAACTTTCACAGTAGTAAAATTAAAACCTGTGAAAGATAAATGCGATACGTGGACTTGGAGCAGTGTTCACGAGAGGTTCATTAGTATGCCGCTGCACCGATGAGTTTAGTTTGGGGACACTTTTGCAGAAATTGCCGTGTTATGTAGTTTCTGAATTTCGTCCTAAAATTCCACCCATACGAGAAGAAGGCAAGACTTCCATGCATTCACCAAGTTTAAGTAGGCCTGGTGGGCCAATCATTTTAAAGAGGGGAAAACCATTGCAAGGCTGACCCTTAACTAGTTTGCTTTCCCAAAAAAGAAGCAACAATTTTGATTATATTGATTTCGAGTAGTAAAAAAAGGTTCATGTTCGTTAACTGTACAAATTTATACCATGTTTTCCATGAGGTCTACCCACCCACAAAGCGATTTTTTTCCGCCTACACACCCTTCCACGAAATGAATCGCTCTCTCCAATTTCTGACAGCTTGCACAGAGAAACGGTGCAACTGTTCAGTTCATTCCATTTCATTTTGGTTGGTCCCAATCCCAACTAAAGAAACCCGACAACCGAGTTTCGTCAAAACCTTTCAGCAAAAAAATATCCTCATTCTTTACTGCGGCTAAACCTAAGGGTGAAAGTAGTAGTCGTATAAAATAACAGCGAAATAACCAACCAGCAGCAGCCTTGTCTGCCTTTCTCTGGCCAAACAGTCATCATAACTTTTCTTGAAGAAATCTTCAAAACGTATAAAGAGAGCAATTCAACCAACCGGACAACGAGAAGAAAGCCAGTCTTGAGGAGTAATCCGCTCAAACCATTCAGTCGTTATGTAGCAGAGTACATACACAGTAATCCAAAATTCAAACAATAGAAAAATTCTGCTTTTCCTTCACACAAAGCAACAGTCATGAAATGAACAGTGTATATAAATTCATTCATTCATCATGAGAAAAACTTTCCGGGTAATTTTCACCAGCCGAATTAACACGCTTTTGTATGTAGCTAAAATTCTGAACTTCCTTCCTCTTCGTATTTATTATGAGAGGGATGCTCGTGAAGTAAAGTAGCATTAAGCTGAGGACAATAGCACACATACACTCTTAGAAATTCGGTATTAAAATAATACCAAGCAGTAGTAATATATAACTCTACCAACGAAGTAATGCCGTGTAGTAATAGCTCGGTATTAAAGTTTGACCATATCGGTAGCAAATTTTTACGAACCGGTATAACTGTAATACCAAGTGGTAGCAACTTTAATACCAAAAAATCAATACCTGCCTGACTATACCAGATTTCTAACAGTGTGCATATAACCGCTAGCATTTTTACTATTCTGAGATTTCAGAAAGTACAAGCTTACATTTAGAAAGCAAGCTGCGCAATTTTTATCTGCGAAATAAAAAAAGAACAAGACTCACCGAGAAGAGCTTGGAAAAGCCGAGACTTAAAAATGCGAATCACACGCTCAATCGCCAATCGGAGCTGCTTATCCTGCGGTCTTGTCAACTTTGAGTGGTAATCCTCCAACAATTCCAGGGCCCGGTGGGCTTCTGAAAATAAAGTCGTCATCTGTTAAGCAATTTCATAATAAAAATGGCCAACCAACATTTTTACGATAAAAAACCTCTCATATTGCTGGGATAAAAATAAAATAACACTAATCGTAGCGGGGAGTCGTTGCATGTTCATGACATTTCATAACCATCTATATTTTGTGATCCCATTTTTTAAGAAATATATAAACAAGTCAAAAATAAGTTGGTGACACAGACTATAAGCTAAAAAATGTAGCAATCCAGCAGGTGTTGCGGTCGTGGTGTGGTGACACCCGAAAGAAATGTAGTAATAACATTATCAAATAAACATATTCCAACTTATTCGGCATATGTATGACACACATCACGTTTTCCTTCCTTTTGGCAGGTGCGTGATGAAAAAATGTATTATTTTGTTGTCACACGCAGCCAGCCATGATTTCATTTCACGAGATAAAGCAATATTCATCACATACAAAGTAAAGTAACACAAAAACATAATAAACCACACACACCACCCTCCACGCCACACACTTAATTTGCATGTTTCTCTTTCTCTTCTTATAACGTCTTAAAGGCAAACATGCGAGGAGACGATGATAAATAAAATACGGGCACAAAAATAACGGGAATATTTTTTACATAATGTAAAAATCACCCAACTGAAAATGGACCTTGGATATTTCTTCGTTTTACGTTTCTTTCGTTACATACACAAATAAGATTTGTCTCCTTAAAAAGGCAGATATTTTTTAAAAAGCCTTGTTTTTTTTTCAATCAGACTCCATGAACATCAATCTCATTGTCTTCTCCCATTCATGAATTGAATCCCACAACGGGATATAAAAATGCTAAATGCAACAACGTGATGTGATACCAGAGTTCCTGCTTGGAATCTGTTAATAGTTAATAGGTCGTTCATCCCACTTAGCACATGCAGCACACTGACTGCGTTACAGACTCACAAGTCGTCTACGAATACATTAGCGTAACTTAACTTTCTTTAATTTAAATACCTTCATGTGCATACCAGGCAACACTCTAGTCTTTGTATTGTATGTACAACCTTAATTTCAGTTTTATTGCATAGATGTAGGTACATAAATAAATTTTGTTGCAGCAATATAACGGAGGATCTAATGAAATGCTGGGCATTTAATTTAGCACAAAAGTTACATTCAATCAGTCAGAGTTTTAGTGCTTGCTCGCCACCGACACTATTATACTTTTTCGTTATATTTCCTGCAGCGAAAATAAGTACACGATTGGATTGACTTCTGTGCGTTTGATGATGATTCGCCATCGCCATGCCTCCCCCGCGGCGCAATG